CCGGGCCCAACCGGCTGGGCCCAGCCCGGCAGGGCAGGCCCGGCCGGGCGGCGTCCTCACTCAGGAAAAAAAAAAAAAAAAAATCTTCCTCCGTCTATTCCTCCTCCTCCCCGGCAATGACTCTCCTTCTTCTTCTACTAGTGCTTCTCCTCCGGCTCTCTGTCCTCTGAAAACAGTTCACATTTCTTCTCCGTCATCCCCCTACACCTCTTCAGTTCCTCCGCCCCTCCTCAATAAATTGACAGCCCCACACAGCATAAAGCGACAAAGCACACAAATCTTTACTCCTCCCCGCCGATGGCTTTCTCCTTCTTCGTCTTGTCTTCCTTCTGTCTGTCCTCCAAACACAGTGCACATCTCTTCTCCTTCTTCTTCTTATCCTTCTCTTCCTGCTGTCTTCTCCTTCTTCCTCCTCGGCGGGATCAAGCTCTCTCATAACCGCTGCCACGCCCGGATGGAAAGAGAGCCCTGTCACACGGCATCCGTAAAAGCGCTGCCAGCTGGTGTCCGTAAGCGCTGCCACTTGGCATGCAGGAAAGCCCTATCAGTAGTGTGAGTATGCCCTGAGACTTTCAATCAATCATTTTCTCTTTCCTTTTCCCCTCTTTGAAACCTTTGCCTGGATTCTTTGTTCTGGACCACAGATGACACTATCGACGCCGACGACTAGTCAACAACAAACCCAGTAGCAGTGTAGCGTCCTTTGGGACATCTGGTAGTACTTGCGCTGGCGCGCAATACAGAAGCTTGAAGCACTCACGAAAGCACTCATGCTTCATTCGGTCCAGCCAGGACGGCGCGGTCGAGAGTTATGCGAAGGGACAGTCATTGTCATAGCCATTCCTTTCTCGCCATAGCCATTGCTGTCTCGCAAGTTCCCAGTGTAAATCCTCCCCCGCGCCTCTCATAGGGTGTGGATATAATCCCGGCGGATTCCCGCAGTGGGATTCATAGGGCATTCACGATCGCTGCAGGTAGCAGGAGTGGAGTAGGAAGATGTGTGTTCACTAAGGAGGGGGTGGCACACTAAAGCGATTTAAAAACCTTCACACCGGACAATCGGGACACGCGGTTAATGGAAGGCCCAAAATTCGGGGGGGTTCGCCGCATCACTACAAGCAATGTCGTTGAAACTTTCGCAAACAAACTATGCAGGCTCATAATACAAACATAAAAAAAAAAAAACACGAGTGACAATCGGAGAAGGCAAGACAGTATATAATGGTAGGGCTAATCAATCACTGTATTCCGACAGAGTTCTGAGTCGCATCAGCTATCGCAGTTTCGCCAGAATTCCATGATATGATATGAATCCTTCTTCCTGGTGCCTGGTGCACTCACAGCAGCAGGAGTGGTGGAGGTTCTTCCATGCCCAAGGGAAGAGAGTGCTGTGAGAGGTGACTGATGCAAAAGAGCAGAAGATGGGTGGCACACTGAATGGGCAGGATCTAACCGACCTTCAGGTCCGACGGTCAACAAAGGTGGCTACAAGCAAAGGAGAGTGCTGTTTCT